TCTTAGAAAATTCTAGTAGGTACCTACTTACCAGTCAGTATTAGTGACTTATTTCGTTAATAATTAGAGCATATTATCAAAGTTTAGAATTTTATAAACTGTATTATAAACTTACGTAGATGTTAACTGTCTTGTTGATTTTAAAATAAAGATTATTAGAGAAAAAATTGGTTTTTTTTTAGCCTATTTCATTGTAGTATTCTATTCTTTCATAATAAGTGCTACTTTTAGGGTTTGATCTCGGAATTTTTACTGCATTATATTATTTCCGAATTAACGTTGACGTTGCGAATACTTTATACGTCTGTAATGTATTCGAAAGGTCAGTGACCACGAAAAGTGAGACCGCTGACTGAAAATCAAGGTGCTTAGTGCGAGTTTTTTAACGTTGTCAATAGCGTAAAAGTTAGCTCATATTTGTAAGGAATGGGATCGTTTGCCTACGTTTGCTGTTAGGGGCGCTTTTCCAACTGCATACTAAATAGGGCTAACTTTTACGTTATCGAGAACGTTAAAAAACTCGCACTAAGCATACTGAGTGAACGGTCGAAGGTCACTTGAACACCTTATATAAGAACGGTCAGTTCGTTCTTTTTCGTCTTTTTATATGTCTGTCTTCTCAGAAGTCAAAAAATGTACTGCCGTCCGGTGGTCACGTACGCGCTCGTTCCATTTCTTTTCGAATTATTTTCAAATCTCTGTCTTAGTCTGTCTATGTCTAGTCATTATAGGTCTTATGTCTTGTCAAAGAGGTTGCACGCCACGACACTGAGATTGTAATGTATTGTATAAAATTTTCCGCGCAGATTACGCAGTGCGTGATATGAGCTACAAAACGTCATTTATCCTTAGCCTAATACAATTTTCGATTTAACTTTTTGTTTAAGATTCACCTTTGGGAGCGGTTCACTACAACGCAGAAACTCTGAACCAGGTCGAAGCATCAGAACAGCCTCCAACACGTCAAGCTTTTTTTTTTATTGTTTAGGTGCCCACCTGGTATTAAGTGGTTACTGGAGCCTATAGCCATCTACGACGTGTAAATGCGCCACCCACCTTGAGATATGAGTTCTAAGGTCTAAGTATAGTTACAACGGCTGCCCCACCCTTCAAACCGAAACGCATACACTTCAGCTCTTGGTGAGTACGACTTACCAAGAACTATTTACATCTCAACTAAGAGTATGATCTGGAATTAACATTCCTACCACCTCAAGAGCTCTCCCAAAACTTAAGAGTATTTACCACAATATTGTACTTTGGTAAAAAAAATAACATCCCCAGCCAGCATCCGATAACAATAGTTTAATCACTGACCGATTTGCGGAGGGTGTCACGCTGATTTTCGGAGTGATCCTACCGCACTCCGCCCTCTGCCCTCTCGACTATAAAACTAGAAAACACCCCTAAATTAATCACAGTTAGATCTGCACTTGCGCCTACGCAACAGGTGCGGAAAATTTAACTAAAAAAACTAAACGCCAAAATTAATTCGTCCAAAAAACGAGTGCAACTAACAGTTTTAATCTTTTTACGTCTAAAAATTAATGTTTTTTTTAATTAATTTAATTAAATTGTTAATTAATAAACGTTACGGGAAATGTCTCGCGTCGTGTCGCGAGTGGGTTTGTCTCGCTGTCGGGTTTCCCGAGCGTTTCCGCCAACGGAACTAGAGAAAGAGCTCGACGAAGACGTAAAGAGATGTGTGAGTTTAAATTTTGATATTATCACATTATTTTATTTGTATTTTTTTTATTGCTTAGTTGGGCGGACGAGCTCACAGCCCACTTGATGTTACATTTTCAAGATAAGCTTGCCTTTATACAAATTCCGAACAACAACATTCCTCATCGTTCTCGTCGAACCCGTCGCTCGCGACGAAGGGCTCGACGAGTAAGCCCTCAGAGTTTCTCGCCGGATCTTCTCAGTGGGTCGCGTTTCCGATCCGGTGGTAGATTCTGCGAAGCACGGCTCTTTCTAGGGTTCGTGTTAGCAACGTCGTCAGGTTTGAGCCTCGTGAGCTCACCTAGTAGTTAAGGTTACGCTGAAATAGCCTCTCAAGGCCTTTTTTTTTTTGTTGCTTATATGGATGGACGAGCTCACAGCTCACCTGGTGTTAAGTGGTTACTGGAGCCCATAGACATCTACAATGTAAATGCGCCACCCACCTCGAGATATAAGTTCTAAGGTCTCAGTATAGTTACTCAGTCTCAGCTTAAGTAGGAAAAAAAAATAACATTTGGACCGTCTGTCTACCGAGCAATGTCACCCATTCCGTGGAACGTCTTCCATTCGTCGTTCCCTACAAATGTATGCTATCAACTTGTAGTTTTCGTTACTATATCAAAATTGACGCCGAATAAGGCACTATAGGTTTGACATTTGGAGTTTCGCTGCTCCAAATCGACGAATTTTAAGTTTATTTTTCAGTTTTTATTTATTACGTTTGTAGTTAGACGAGCATACACAACTGATGGTAAATAGTTACCAGGATACCAAGGCGCTACCTACTGAAATTGTTTCATAATTACAATTATGAAATATAATTACAATTACAATTATGAAACCAGCCGCTAAAATCTTGAGCTGTTTTCCGAATGGATATAACGAAACTTACCTGAATTTGAATTTAATTGAAAACATTGGAGTATATTTTATAAGGTAGTGTTTCTATTTGTATTTTTTTATAATTGCAGGTTTACATGGAAACTGACGCAGAAGGATTCATATTACCGGTCGGAGGTTTAAGTGCCGCGAAATTAGTAGTCGGCGCTCGATTAGCTCCAGACGTCCACGCGCGGAACGCAGTCCTGTCTGTAGTCAGTCGGGAGAACCTCTCGCTGCAAATACGCATCGAAGCCGATATTCCACCGCATCACGAACTTTTGTTGTGGCCCGACGAGCAGCTGTCGGCAATCGCTGCCGTACCGTTCTTGACGCCCAAGAATATATTCGGTAATTGTTTTTTTTTTATCTTATCTATAATGATTACATTGTTGCTTCACGGCAGAAATAGGCAGGGTGGTGGTACCTACCCGTGCGGACTCACAAGACGTCCTACTACTAGTAGGTAGGTTATATTTATGGGCTAGGATGACCGGTGTACGCCAATGAAAAAGTGACTTCCGTATTAAAAAGTAGTACGAAACTTTAATGACATGAAATGTATTTTAAACTTCCTAAATTAAAATGTAAGACACATTAAAATTAACAGTAACATTAAAAATATCCTGATTAAGATTGTTGTTTGATTGCAGGAAAGAATGAATACGTATGTCACGAGTGCAACTCACAATACGAACACCCCAATCTACTGAAAGTTCATCTGTTCTTGGGTTGTTCGTCGCCAGACACCGCGCGTTTCTGGCGAACAATAACTAAGCGGCTCGGCGCTCCCAGTCAATCGGCCTTCACTGTTTACTCGCGGCTACCATCGCCCACCATCATACCGGCTATAGGCCCGGCGGAGCTGGAAGCCATCGCAGCTGAGTGGGGCAGGTCGCGAGGGGCTCACGTATGCGTGTACTGCGGGAAAGCCTACTCAAGGAAATACGGTCTAAAGATCCACATTCGGACGCACACTGGTTACAGGCCGCTACGGTGTAGGTACTGCGCCAGAGCTTTTGGGGATCCGAGCAACTTGAACAAGCACGTGAGGTTGCACACGGGCGGCAGCGCGGGCGGCGCCCACGTGTGCCCCGCGTGCGGCCGCGCGCTGGCCAGGCGCCGCGACCTCGAGCGACACCTGCGCGCGCACGCCGCGGCCGAGAGGTGAAGTCCGAAGGAGAGACCGCGTGCAAACGCTCTTATGAAGCTCCGTCTAAACTGCAGTATTGCAGTATCATTTTTAATCTATAAATTGATCGTGCAAAAGGTACGCGTCCATTGGCCCGCGCCGGACGCACCACAAATTATACATGGCAATATAAAACCCGTTGCGTGCGGTGCGTCCGGCGCGGGCCAATGGACGCGTAGCTTTAATCGACCACGTCCATAATTGCTAGTGGCGAATAGAAGCTCACCTGTGTACTTAGTGATAGTTTTTTAAAGTTCTAAAAGTTAACACTACTATGCAGTTGGAACAGCGCCCCTAGCGGCAAATGTAACGGGAATTAACTTTTACGCTATCGAGAACGTTAAAAACGCGCTATAAGCACACTTACAAACACACATCGATTTTTTAATATATTCCATTTTCAGGAGCAAAACGTTGCTGTGGCTCACACACTAATGTACATGTAGTACAGTTTAGGCGTGTCAACAATAATTTATTCGAATATAAAATAGTTTATTGTTCTTTGTGCAAATATGTTTTATTGGTTGTACAATTAAATTATATTAACTTAATATTTTTTATTAAACAGACACGTGTAAAAGGATCTTGACATAAAATCAGTTTCAATTGAATTGTGTTTCAATTTAGAGTGCAACAGCCGTTATAGCTGTTTCACTCTAAAATGCATGGTTGCTTCACAACAAAAATGAGCATCATGATATTAGTAGGTACGTGTTTTATTGGTACGTAATTTTAGCAAGTCTTGTAATTCCGCATGAGTGGTACCCTGCCTATTTCAGCCGTGAAGCAGTAATGCGTTTTGAAAGGTGGGGCAGCCATTCTAACTATATTGAGACCTTAGAACTTATATCTCAAGATAGGTGGCGGCATTTACGTTGTAGATGTCTATGGGCTCCAGTGACTACTTAACACCAGGTGGACTGTGAGGTCGTCCACCCATATAAGCAACAAAACAAAACTTTTTAAAAAACGAGCGTATATTACATACAGTACGTATAGTATTAAAAGTACGTACCTTACCGTGCGTCCTAAGAACGCGCCACACCACCAGGTGTACCTATTACACGGAATATTTCCATCGATCGAGTTTCAGACTAAAGTTAGCATTCGCTTGGCTCGGCCACTCATCAAACCTAGAGCCGCTGGTACAATGCCGGTGCAATGGCGATCGCACAACAGCTTTGTATAAATAAAAGTCAATGTATATAGTTTTAAATGTTTATTGTCCTTAACCCTACTGCGCGGCGACCTTGGCTGCGATGCGCTTGTCCCGCTCCTCGGCGATGGTGAGGCGGATGCCCTTGCCGCGCGGCAGCGAGATGTACGCCTTCGTGCCCTTGCCGATTATGAACACGTTGTTCAACCTGCGGACACATACTTGTGTGAGCCCAGGGACAAACATAACTGGGACAGTCTGTCCACCCACCAATGCAATATAAAAAAGGTTTCTATATCGTATGATCCTAACCTAGAATTGTAATATTATGGATGATTGAAACTAGTAACACAACATAAGTAACATAAACACAAGTAGACCGAGACCTCGAGTATCATTATATCTTATGATATAAAAGTGATCATTTTAATACACTGCTCCTGCAACACTTCTTTATTCAACTGACAGGTACCCTCCTCTTATAAATTCAATATGACTTGATTTAATTAATCCTAATCTATATATATATATATATAAATTAATTGCTGTTCGTTAGTCTCGCTAAAACTTGAGACCGGCTGGACTGACAAATTTTGGTCTTGAATTATTTGTGATAGTCCAGAGAAGGTTTAAAAGGTAAATAAATATGAAAATGCTTGGAACTAAATAAAAATAACAATTTTGTTTTTCCTTTGATGTGTCCCCCTATCAACCGGATTCCTTTTGTTTGTTTTAAGTTTATTATATACAAAAATCTTTTATTTATCGAATAAGGCACTACGAAGTCAGTCTGCCGGGTCAGCTAGTCTACTAATAAAAGTATGATATTTCATAATTTGTGTTAGAGGTCAGTATGTCTATTAGAAGTGAGGAACGTCAGAACAAAAATCAATAAATCACATTTGATTTTTGTGAAAAAATTTAAAAATATGGCCAAGTTCATAATTTTCTAATTTAGAGTTAAACGAAATCTATCTATTGCTGTTAGCATCACTGTTTGGAAACCTAAATTCTGCATTCATGACTGTGGTACCTGTTGAGTTGTAAAACAAAAGAAAATGGATTTATCAGTCATTGACCAAACCAACTTGATATAGATTGTTTTTAATAAAACACTATAGGATATATGAGTATTTGATAAAATGCTGGCAGGAATATGAGGGCTTGATAAAATGCTGGCAGGAATATGAGGGCTTAATAAAATGCTGGCAGGAATATGAGGGCTTGATAAAATGCGGCTGAACATGCATCAGTGTTTCTAAGGCCAGATCAGGTAGTTTCCAATCAAACAACTATTTTAAATCACGTCATACGTTAATTAATTATAAGCTCAATTTAGGTTAAATGAAAAACTTACAACTATTATGGCTATTTCTGGTCCCAGACCATCGTAAATAGAATCATGATCATGTCTTTCATGGTTGTCAGGAACACTTGCTTCTGTATTCAGGGTTCAGTGGAATTTTCACTAATTTTTTTTACAAATTTTTTCACTAATTTTTTTTATCTTTCTCCCGGTCATCACCAAATTGTTTTACCATGAAAGACTTTACATCTGCTTTCTTCAAAGCACTTAGGCATTTATTTACATCAAGTGGTGCTATTGACTGGAGATGTGTCTTTCTTGATTTTAAGATGCTAAACCGTTTTCCGTGTTTATGGTTTTATCGTGAGAAACTTGAAATTAGATATATCGGTTTTTGACACAATCAAAAGAGTCAATAATGAAAAATGTTAAGGATTTATCGGTATCTGTTCCGATCGCCATCGTTGTTTAGTACGATTTACGTAAATATCGGTTTATGTTCAGATCCGGGCATTTCGCGGACGGATTTAGAGCGGATTTATCAGTTTTCGACCAGGTTACATTAACCACAGAGCAAAAGCAAGATGTACGAGAACAACCAATTGGCATTATAAAAAAGAAAATGGCAAAATGTGATTTATCGGTTTTTGTTCTGGCGCTCCTCAAGTAATTATCAAGGTACCTCGTGGCGAAGGTGTGTCCCGTGGAGTCCTTGATGTGCACAATGTCGAAGGAGCCGGGATGTCTCTCGCGGGACACGATGGTGCCCACACGCCCCAAGTTACGGCCTCCCGTGATCATACACAGGTTCCCTGTGGTACAATTCAAATATCTCATGTTTGTAAGGTTACTTGTGAAGACTAGTCCACTCAGTATATTTATAAAAGAAGTGGTACTAGACCTTACATTTACTGTTTAAAAATTTAAATGCTCTTTAACCTTTTAAAATCAACTTTCAATTCTTAGTTTGATATTATATATTAATTCTGTTTAATTTATTTTTGTGTAAAACATTTACTAACCAGACTCAAACTTGATGAAGTCCATAATCTTCGTAGTTGCAATGTCTAACTGGATGGAATCGTTGACTTTGATAAGTGGGTCTGGGTAGCGGATGGTGCGGCCATCATGCGTTACCAAGTACGGAACATTCTTAGGTCCGGTCGCCACACGCTTGACTTTACACAACTTGTACTGCAAAAAACATATTTAATTTTGCTCTGATTTAAATTCATGATATATGTGACAAATGTAAAATTTACAAGGCTTATATCCTATTTTAGGTTATAATCGTTATGATCATGAGGGAAGAAATAGTTTTCTAATTTTCATGCTACTTGTGGTTTTATTAAAATAATTTTTTTTTCTATGCGTATATGTATTGTATGCATACATATAATCAAAAATTTAATTACTCCTACAAAAACTTAATCTATTAAATTTAAAAAAAATTGTTGTAAATGTAGGCAGCCTGCCATCAAAACAAAAAATAGGAGTCTTTGCCATTTTGGATATTAAAATACAGGTATAAGTGGTTATTTCAAATATGAATTTACATGTGGGTGGAAGAAAAGAGGGGAGAAAAGCAACATGGAATAGATTGTTTATAAACATGAATATCGACGCTTGAAAGGCAAACATGACTAAGCGACAATGCATGAACTTTACAGTAGACTAATTTAAAGTTGAAATACCTGAAAAAAATTCTATTTTAACGAATCTAGCTGTAGGATTGAAATTATTTTAATAGATCTAAAAATATATTTTTTTTGCGCATCGAATATGGTTTTTGCCTATCATTTATGTACAGAGCAGTTATTGTCGCTTAGTCACATTTACCTTTCAAGCGTCTATATGACAAAATAGAATGAATGAAATAAAGACATGTTCCACATACCCCTAATAAAAGAAGAACCAAAAAGGTAGTGTAGTATATTTCTAATTTAAATACTTAGTGATTAATTAGGTTAGGTTAATTATCAGTTATATAAATAAAATACACAATATATAAATAAACTATATCAAATGTTTTTTGGCTTATTGTAAAATTGAATATTCCTTTCCTTATAGTTTAGGTTTAGCAATCTCGAGATTTAGCTTATAGCTCACCTTAGCCTCCTCAGGGGTGATACGGTGGATTGTGAATCTGCCCTTAACATCATAGATTAGACGAAACAGTTCATTAGTCTTCTCAATTGAGACAACATCTGAAAAACAAGGAAAAAATTATCTGATGTTATAGAAATTACTAAATGATAACTGGTGGTAACTGGTGGAACTCTTGGGAGTCCATACAGTTAGGTACCACCACCCTGCCTATTTCTACTGTGAAGCAGTAATGCATTTCGGTTTCAAGGGTGGGGCAGCTGTTGTAACTATACTAAGACTTTAGAACTCATATCTCAAGGTGGGTGGTGGTATTTATGTTGTAGATGTCTAAGGGCTCCTGTAACCACCTAACACCTCGTGGACTGTGAGCTCATCTACCCATCTATGCAAAAAAAGTCGTATTTGCTAAATGTAAGAAAAAAAGCTGTAACTATAATGTAAATAATAAACTAAAATATGTTTAGCATGTATTCACAAATGAGTTCCACAATGAAGGAATGTGAAATTTAACTGCAAAAATATATAAATATACATGAAATTACTACTAGGGCATATGAGGTCTATAAAATCAAAGGCAGCTAAATCAAATTGTCAAACATTCAGGTAAACTATAAAAATCGGCCCTAAACACGTCATTACGGATCCTCCCGATCCATCGAAGTACTGCTTTTGCTAGGGCCAGTGTTAGCAACACTCCTGGTTTGTTAATCCATTTAAGACATTAAGGCATTTAGCTGCCTTTGATTTTATAGGCTTCATATGTAAGCCGGCATAGGTTGGTATCACCGTCCCATCTGTGCCAAGAGAAGATATCAAGCCACATTAAACAACTACAAAATGTATTTTTGCCCCTACTCCAACCTCTGCCTTTATCTTTTCCAGGTTTAGAAAGTGCTCTAATCTTGTTCTTTTTATGTCTTGGCAGTCCAGTAGGAGTATTGGTTTAAAATCACCAATATGATAAAATCAATGTATTGTTGTTGATATTATTATTACCTTTGGTTTTTTAAATGCTAATGGGACAGAAAAATATTATTTATTCAAATATTGTTCCAGCAGATTAATTATTTGTTTATTATTTATTACAGATGCAAATGAAAGAATTAGATTTGAGCCCTACACCCCAGCAGAGATTAATAGGAAAGAGAAAAGAAGAAATTAGTTAAATTTCAAATATTTCATAATGTAATGTTTATTTTTTTAACTCTGATAAAATGACAAGTTTAAGAATAACTCACCCATAAATCCAGCAGGATAAGTAGGGTCAGTCCTAACTTTCCCATCAACCTTTATGAGGCGTTGTTTCACAATTTTCAGGACTTCGTTTCCGGTCAAAGCATACTTCAGACGATTCCTCAGGAAAATCACCAGGGGCAAGCACTCGCGCAACTTGTGGGGACCGGTTGACGGTCTCGGTGCATACACACCGCCAAGTTTGTCCAACATCCATGCTTTGGGAGCGTTTAAGCGCTTCAAATGCTTCTTAGGGCCTCGCGCCTAAAACAACGGTGAAATTGTAAAATTGTCGTGTGAAAAAAACGACAGGTTGACTTTATTCAAGCATTCTCTGAACTATCACCACAGTAATATTCATGTAACTTATTTACTAACTTGATAAATTTGTTATAAAACTAAAGAGACTTCGACATATTTAGTCAACGACTTTTTCAGACAGTGTGTGTTTTTAACGGCAAATACGGATCGAAATGTAATTTTAAGGCTCTGAACGAAATAGCCACGGTTTACACTTTCATGAAAACCTTATACACTAAGCGATTTTTATTGATTTCGGCAATATTGAAACACAAACTCACCATGTTGGACAAGTATTAAATCGAGAAAGAAACGTCAAACCCAAGATCAAAGTGAAGACAGTGAAGTTAAGTCGTTTGTCAAATGTCATTATTATTTTTTTGTAGAGCCCTGGATTCCAGTCTTTTCACTAAGTTTTCATTATGATTATTTTCTTTGATAGTTTAAAAAAACCTACTATAGTTGAAAAAATTGAAGTGGAGTGAAGAAGTGTAAGTTGTAAATGAGAAAAAACGAAATGAGATAAATGTAAAAGTATAACACTGAAATGGTGGAAAAAAAAAAGACTTCAGTAGATTTTTTGAAGGACCCCAAAAAGGAAAACAACAAGACCAGCAATTTTGTTTCAATTTTCCATCCTAAGAAAAAATGTGGAGATGTTGCCTTCTATAGACGTATGACGTGCTCGTTGAATAAGTTTCTCACCGGATCTTTTCTAAAGAAATACAGACTTCAAATACACGTTCAGAAATAACTTCCGTATATTTAATTAACTTACGTAGGTAATTTCTCGCTTTGTAGCTAAACGGTACGATAGGTAGTCGTTTTAAACCATGATTGATAGGTGGCAGAATTAACATTTTTAAATCTATTAATTTCAGTTGAAATGTAAAATAATGCTGACTTTTTAACCTTTTAGTTTAAGCTTTTACACCTCTGATTCTTCCGAAAAGTCAATAAGTCTCCTATACATTTCCAGTTTTTTATTGAGTTTTATCATATCTTGTTTAATTTTATATCATGAACTTGTGGTCATTTTTCTTGTTCATTTACTCTTAGTGTTAAGACTTAACTAGAGCAAAAATAAAATATATAAATTGATTTTTGGCTAAAAGACAAGAATCCAGGTCATTCACTAATGGTAAAAAGAAACAAAATACAAAATATACCGGTAAAATGGGACGATTAGGGACAAATTCCAACTTTATGACCAATTTTAAGGTAGTTGTTGATGTTTATAATGCTATATCAGGATCAAAAAGATTGAGTCTTAAAACTATGCACCTAGCATTCCACTTTAAGCAAAAAAAGCAAAAATAAGTGTAATCCCTATTTACCCAGAAATTGCGGTTAATTGGGACGAAATGAGAAATTTGATAGGGTTGGCACTACTTGGTTTTAATTAATTTATTTATTTAGTTGCACCAACAAAGTGATCATCAATATAAAACATTGAAAAACTGACAAAAGTACATAGCAGATGTCACCTCAATTAAAGGTGAAATCGACAGTGCATTAACAATATATATATATAACTAAAACTTGATTACATTTATTTACTTATGATTAATTTATATTTACTAGGAAAATGATCCGCGACAGATTCGTCCTGTAAATTGTGAGACAATAAAAAAAACATCTATTTCATCACTTAAAATTAGTTCAGCGCAATCGGACAACTCCGAATGAACATTGACGGAGACCACGCTAACGTGGACATTATTTTAGTCCCAAAGGATTCTGTATATGGAAGAGTAAGCACCTAAATTCGAACGAGTGGGCTTTCTTATAAACGGTTTATATTTCTTCGTTCTTGGTAAGTACTTAGGGGCTGATATTTTTATCTGGGTTAAGAGATTAGGTGTGTCGGTTATTCCATGGATTAATCAGATGAATACCCCCACTCTGAACAAATATTAAATATTTTATTATCTATTACATAAACATTTTTGTCCACCTTGAGATTTCATTGTTCTTGTTACATGTCTGTGCAAAATCGACTTACTTATATTAAATTGCTTAGCTATTTTAACTAAAGATTTATTCCCAATTTCATAGGCTTCTATTGCTGTTTTTAATACTAAGGGATCATATCTCTTATAAGGCTTTGCACTCTTTGATACGTACACGCGAGGCATATCTAAATATAGAAAACAATACGTAGGTAACTGATAATATAAATATTTACCAAACAATACAATAACACATTGATAATTCTGAATAAAAGTTCTAGACAAAAACATCATGAATAAACCAGATTTTTACCAACAAATTTAAAAAATATTGTTATAACTACATAGACAACCCTAAAAACCTGTACCTATTTATACTTAGGTCGTTTCATCACCTACGTACATTTCGACATGTTTTACGGTACCTACTCAAGTTAGGACTTTTTGGCGGGAACGCGAGGAGTGAAGTTGTGTGATTTGTTTTATTTTGTCTATTTAGTGTTTTTTCAGGCTTAAATGTGTAATAACGGTGGCTTATTAACTGTTTAATAGTTCAATATCTGTGAAAGTGCACAAATGTGGGAAAATGAAACAAAGCTGTTGGACGTAACTTCTCGGGATCCTCCAAAAGTCCACTGAAAAAATCTCAGTACATGACCACCATTTTACTGAGATTATATTTCATCCCATATCATCTCATATTAGTTCATTTAATTTCATCCCGGTTTATTAATGTCTCAAATTAATCATCTTCATTTCATTTCACTCCATATTATCATTTTTCATAAAAATATCCCATAACATATCATCTCATTTCATTTCAATATCATATTTCATAAAAATATATATAAAAGATTAGGCTGTATGGTATGATACCTTTGCCTTTATATTTGGAAAAATAAAACTAAAAATAATAACTAAAGTCAGTAATTTTATGTGGTATGTTTTGTATTTTCGAACTAAATATGAATGGAATCTTCTTCGGAGGATAGTTTTTTGTGGTCAGATGCTTCTATTGATACATCTGATAGAGAAGAAATGTAAGTAATCATGTGTATTATTCAAATTTTACTAAAGACAACCAATGTGAGGTTATAAAATACAAGCGTGTGTTAATTCAAGCCTTCCACAATGGGTAACTCGAATTAGATTTATTGCTCTAACGTTTTAAATCTAAGTTTTTGTTAGTTTACCCTCCATGACATCATAGCGTCGTAGATATATAACATTGAATACACAAATTCCTTGATTGTAAGTCGCAATATGAGCTTATAAAACTTCAGTTTTACCAAAACCAGTTCCTCTTAAAAATACTAGGTTTAAAGTAGTACAATTTATGTTTCAATTATTATCATGTGCATTCAATTGGAATCTTTAGTGCAGTGGAAATTGGCAGAATAAATTATGACAATTCTTTGTTATACAATATAGTTTTGCTCAGTTAATATTCTGTCAATGACTGAATGAACAACTGAAATTAAATAAACTACGTGTCCTTGGCATTGCTGACGTTTATTAGTGGCTGGTCATCATCAGATAGCCTGTTTGCTCCTGCCAGTCTTCAAGGGCAATAATAAAAAGAATCAAGTATGCAAGTTAATACCCATGACCAAAAAACCTGTAAAGTATTCAAAATGTTAATTAAAATATAAAAATAATAAACACGTGATCTAAACTGTAAATTATAAGTACAGTTACAAATGGTTGAGAACTCAAAGAATACGTAACTAGGTAGAAACGAGAATATAAATTAGCAAACTGATGCTGCAAAGTAACCAACTGATGGCAAGGACTAATTTTTTATTTTGTCTACAGGGCAAAAGCTACAAATATAAATCAATCAGATGTAGACTCTGAATACGGACAGAGCTATAAAAAGAAACTTCACAAAGAACTCTTTGTAAATGGTGAACATGAGACAGAATCTAAGGATCAACCAACAGAAAAGAGTAGGAAAAGAAAAATTAAGACTGAGAAAACTGAAGAAACTGACAGTCCTAAGAAAAAAAAAATTAAGGTCGAACCTGAAAGTGATATTGAATTGAAAAATAATTCTAAGCATAGATTATCAGTAAACCAACAACATTTACCAGATGATGACTCAACTTATGATGAGAGCTATTTGAATCTACGAGTAAAACAAGAGCAAACATTCACAATTCCATCAGCACAAAAAAAAAGAAAGAAAAACCACAAGAGTGAATCTGTGGTAAATTCTGAAAATGACATTGAGTCAAACACTGAAAATAACAATGTTATTGCTGAATCTAACTTTGAGACTAGTACTTTGAGTCACCAAGCAGATTCTGAAGATTATGAAAGTAAAGCTAAAAAAAAGAAAAAAAAATCAAGAAATAAAAGTGAATCCACTGAGCAAGAAACTATCATTGAAGAAAAATTTACTGCTGAAGAGACTGTTGTAGAAACAAGACAACCAATAAGTAGTAGTGATTGCGATGCTAAGAAATCTTCAAAAGAAAATTTAGACAAAAGAAAAAAAAAGAAACATATACATAGCCACAGTGAATCTGAAGACAATGAAGAAGGGTCGAAAAATCGAACTGTTTCATGTCCAGAAGCTGTACGAGATCATGATATGCCAGAAATTGTAAATACCAAAACATCTAGAACAATATCAGAGAGAATTAGATTTGAGGAAGAAGAATCAGATATAGATGTTAGAACACTCAATAACCAATCCAGAAAGTTGAGAAACTATTTAAAAGCAAATGTAAATTTGAAGCCTGCTGTAGATCATTTGAAGGAGGAGGCACTTGTAACATCAGATGATGAGATATTTCTTATAAAATGTCCCAGTATAATTGATTTAGCTGCTTTCAAAGGTGTCAAAATCAACTTAGACAAAAAATGTAAAATAAAAATTAATAACCAGACCTATGAATGTAATTGGGATGAAGGAAAAAATAAGATAGCTATTTTATCTCGTAATAAGAATAAAACTGTAATAAAAGGTTTACCTGTTAATGGTATGTTGTGTCTAAGAAAAAGAATACCAAAATTACATATACGAGAAGAGAATTATATGATAAATAATCAAAATAATTTTATTCCATTATTAGATACTAAATGTAGACATCCATTGTTTGGTGCAAATTACAAAAAAGCAATTAAAATACCTTTTTCTGTAGCTGAGAGATTGAGGGAAGTTGATCAACCACAAGATATTGATATTGTTGATATTGAATCGGAAAAGACAAAAAAGAAAAAAAAGAAAAAGGATAAGGATAAGATAAAAATAGAAACAAGCTATGTTGAAAAGGACAATGAACAAACTGATGCTGAAGAGCTACCTCCCAAAAAGAAAAGTAAGAAACATAAACACACAAAAGAAACAGAAAAAGTTAAATCAAAGAAAACAAAACATAAGAGACATAATTTAGACACTGCAGAAG